TTATTTCGAGTGTGCAAACGCTCAGGTATTTTTTGCGCCGCAACACCTCTTATCCAACACTCTTTTAACACCAGAAGCTTGACGTCTCTTCTAAAAAGTTAGGGAGGGTACTTAGTATTGGTACTTCTAGCAACCTTTTTCATTTTCACCATCTTAATCCATTACCTTACGTGAGTCTTTGATGATGGTGGATATGAAATCTTTAGCTAGTACGATGGGATTTGATTTGGCTCCATACTTTGCTTCTTTGTCCATGAAAAGCAAGATCTCTTGACTTTAAGCCTATACTATTTTTCCCTAGCCAGTGAACAACTTACCTATCATTTTTTTCTTCGGTCAGAGGATACAGGTTTTCAACTTGCTTGTGTATTACATTTTTTTTGTTATTGGAGGAGGTAACTTCTCTTGAGCTTTAGGTATTTGATGTTTATTCTCATGAATATTGTTTAGATTTTCTTTCCATAGTTACAATCCATCATAAACTTTTATTATTATTTTTTTCCTTCCATATTTTGAGCCCAAGGTCACTAACTTCCGGGTCAATATTTGCTATAGCAGCACACAAGAATTGCTTACCCAAGATGGTATGAACTTCTTCTTCTTCTTCTCCAATATCGACAATCACAAAATCAACAAGATATATAAATATTCCAATTTTCATTAATACATCTTCAATTATCTTATGAGGGAGAATATAAGACATGCCGACTAAAGTCAGCATCATAGCCGTGGACCTTGCCTTTCCATTTTTCCTTATCATCATAGAGAACGATATCAAATAGATGCTTTCTCCCAGGTCGCATAGTGATCCAAGAATACTTAGCTAGTCTATTGTACAAGGTCTTTTGAAACTCCCTAGATCTGGTAGCTTTGGTGGAAGCTTTTATTGGATGATTGCACTGCATACTTCTAACAAGTTAACCATATTGTGGTGTGGGAATCTATTTTTCTTGATTAAAATCTCTTTTACAAATTAAGCATATGGTGGTATTTGTTAAAGTGCTTCTGATAATGGTATGGTCATCTTCAAGTTGTTAAACACTTTGAGAAAATTACTATATTGTCTTTATTTAGGATCTTTCTTCTTTATAAGTGGGTATGATAATGAATTAATGGTTACAATATCTTCCATTTACTATTCTCTCCCCCACTTATTTTTTCACTCTCTCCCTCTGCACTCAACCTTTCTCTACTCTACTCAAAATTTTTATCTTCTTATACAATAACTCCCTACATCATTTTTTTCCCAGATGATGACCTTCTATAGAAATATTTTCTTTAAAAAATATTTTATATTTTAATGATAATTTTGGGTTTAAAATAATTTAGAAACAAATCTTAGAGATATCAAATTAGAAGTCAGTTCTTTAAAAGAAATAATTTTCAAATTTTCATTAACCATACATTACATGTATTTAAGGACTAAGATTTAAAACTAGAATTTATTTTCAAACAAATGCTTAAACTAATTTTAAAACAAAACTAAATTAGTAGAAGTCCTCATTTTTTCATTCGATTAATTTGAGGTGAGAAATATTATGAATTTAGAGAGCAACCAACTACACCATAGATATGAACTCGTGATAGACATCACTATGTAGTATATAGGGGACAACTATTCCCATGATGAATCATATTGATATAGTGATAGGTGTTACATTTAATACTTGTGCAGAAATATAAAAAATTGGAATCATTTGCCATGACATGTATAATACATGATAGAAAAGTCTAATTCATTAACATAAATATGTATTTCATTTTAATGTAACATCTTTGTGTTTTTCTCTCTACTTCGTATTTGTGAACACGAGTTTCAAATTGATGACCTTTGTTGTGGATTTTTTTGGCTATACGTCACCCCCTAGATGTTAAACCTTGGACATTCCCGAGTTGATCGCCACGACTAGGACATCTTTGACACTTTTGGATAAAAACGTACAAGCAACTTGGAGATATGACATACCCAAAGTAGAGTTGACTGTAATGGTTAGGTGGTATAGATGCGACACAAGGCATGACGAGAAACACATGTGAAGGTTACTTGCACAACCCTAGAATACCATGTGCCAGTATACAAGGTATTGGAAGTTGCCTACTATGTCACATTGACGAGTATGGAAACATCTTAGTACCAATTGATCCCAAGTTAAATCATCCAACGAAGACCCATATTTTCCTCTTATGATGATACCTTTAGTAAGACCTAGATGAGCCACTCATATTTTGGTTGGATACTAGAGGTCGCATGTGGCCTTTCTCTAATAATGTTAAATGATGTTGAAGCTTACAATGAACAAATTACAAGATCAAAAACAGAGGGATCAACAAGCATGGAGAAAGATCCATCTGTGTTTGATGTAGGGTATCTGGGTGTGTATTGGTAGCATGATCAGTTAGGCAATGTTTAAAAGATGTCTATGAATTTTCTTTTGAAGTATTTTGGAATGTTTTTATGTATCTGGATGGCTATAATAGTATATAATGATGAATCCTTTGTAATTTCTTGGCATGTGATACATACACAAGTCATGCACATTATGTTTACAATATGGATTTACATCCAATCAAGATAACCAATTAAAACACCTCAAACAATTTAATTCCCTATCAGCTAATAAATCTATATACACATTTATTATTGAGTTTTCAATTAGACTCGATACATATTTATGTTAAACAATATTGTAATTCATACTCCTCTTCAAAGCTCTCATTCTGGTTGAGCCAGAATCTTAACTCCCAACAAACCAAAATTCACCTTGAATCTCCCACGTTTGGTTGAGCTAGAATTTTGACCCCCCAACACTAGCAAGCCAAATTTCCACTCCAGACTTTCACCTTTGGTGAGCAAAAATATAACTCTTAGCCTTAACAAGTCACACTCCTTCTATAAACTATTACGCTTGGTTGAAAGATAATCTCGACCCCCGACCTTAACAAGTATGATTTTCCTTTCAAGATTATATGATAGGTTGAGTGAGATCTTTAGCCTTCAACTTCAACCATTTTTTCCCTCAAAGCTCACACACTTGGTCGAGTGAGAACCCTAACCCTCTACTTCTCTGGAATACCCCCTTCAATCTAACATTAAAAGTAATTACTATACCTTGATATGAGGATTCCTCTTTAGGAGAAGAATAAGCACATTTATATTTTGACAAATGACTTGTTCTTATATATGTTGGGACAGAAATAACACTAGGCATATAAATAAATATCAAATTTTTACCTTCAAGAGTCGTGCTCCTTACAAGATGTTGACACAAGTTCAAAAACACATTTAAGCCAAATGTTCACAAGTTGACCCCATCATGCAACAAACTCGGTTGAGAATAATTCAAATAAGGACTCATAACAAATTATCTATGGCCCCAAAGAAACATGGAACTCAAGTCATCACCAAAGTCCTTCAGCTAAAGGCTTATGACTACTATCTTAGAGCATCTCCAACCGTGAACTCATTTTTGGGTTCTTTGTGGGACCTATTAAGCCACGTCAGCTTGAAGCAACTCAACTAATTTTTCACTCCAATGGTGCAATTCTGAATAACTCATATTGGGTCCCACAAGTTTACTTTATATGTTAATATTTTATTCATATTAAATTTTATATCACTTAAAATAATAATTTTAATTTTTTTACAGAAAATTATTTCAATCTACTATATAGTCCAACCGGTATATAGTGTTGTTTTAAGGAAAAATATTTCATTCTACTATATAAATTTTAAGAAAATTAGATTAAATTTAAAAAAATATTTCAATCTCTCCTTAGTTAATTTTAGTGTTTTAAAGTAAATTTGATATAAAATAAAATTAAAAATTAAAAATTAAAATAAATAAAAATAAAATAAATAAAATTCAAATTAAACTTATAATTAAAATATAGTTTTCATATTATAAAATCAATATTTTAATATTGTAATTATAATTTTCATATGATAATTAAAATGATAAATAAAATTTTATATTAAATTATAATTTTTATATTATAAAATTAATATTTTAATATAAGAACAGTTGAAGAACCGTTGCTTAATTAAGCACCGTTCAACAACATGACAATCTTGGAAACAACAAATATGAGTACCATGTTGGCAAACCCACTCTAAGAACTCCCATTGGAGTTGGTCTTAGATCATACAAATCATAAAAAATAAAGTGAATCGGAGAATGGATATGTCGTAGAGACACTGAAAGTCCCAACTAGACAACCTTTTATGAGTTATTAGATAGGGATAATTAATAGATTATAGGACAATTATCCTAAAAGGCAACTATCTATGACAAGGTTCTAAGTCCTCTGGATAGAGAACCCTAACTATAAAGTCTCACAAATTTCTCAAGACTAGGTTCACACTATTCTAAATTTTAAATCTCACACATATGAAAATCATTGACTTGATTGTCAGAGTGTTAATAGTTACACTCCTCCATATCATGGCCGAAGATAAAAACTCAACCAAGCACAATCATCGTCTAATAATCCATCAACATTGTTGTGAACTTCAATTTTATATCATAACACAATCTAGTCCCTTATATACTAGTTGATTACATGTTTAATATAGTTGATCATAGTAGGCCAAAACTGATAGCTAACTTCTAAAAAATTTACATTGATAGCTAACTTCTAAAAACTTTACATGGATAATATATGTTGAAACTAATAAAGAAAAGAAAATTAAAAAAGATATAAAACATTAAGTATTTAGTTTAAAACTTACTAAGTAAATGAAATTCAAGGCTTGAAATCTTTCAATTGCATGTAATTTTTAGTGTAGGACTCTCAATGTGTGCTTCATATCTAACATGAAAATGGAAGGAGAGATGATAGGAATACCCAAATATTTTATATTTGTCCTCCTTTAAAATAGGGTTTTTGTTTCCTTATATAACTCCTCTCTTGTTATTTAGTCACCCTTATTTATCCATTACATTATGACTTAAAGAATAAGAAGATGGATTGGATTCATTTGACAACTTTAGTGATATTTACTACCTAGGAAAAATATTTGATATTGTAACTTCATTATTAGAAGCTTTTGGTGTTGATTCATCTTCAACCACTTTTCTTCCAACTGAAAATGCAGGTTGATTAGGAGTGGGAAGTGTCATTGTGTCACTTGCCAACATGACAACAACATTGGACATGGTTGGTCTATCAATTGCATCTTCTTGCACACATAACAAACCAATGTGTACACACTTCATAACTTCATTTTCTGTGTATGTATTTTTAAGTATTGGATCTAAAAGTTCCAAACTTTTTCCTTCACACCAAATATTCCAACTCTGCAGACATATAGTTCATATTTAGAAACCCTACTTGAAACAACTTTATTAAAAAAATGTAATATCATTATTTGAACTTAGTATAATCTTATATTCCTATAAAATTTATAAGACTTGATTTTACTTCAATAAAGTTTAATTGTTTTTTCTTTATATTTAATGAAAAATATTCCCATCTCAACTAAAAACATACCAATGATTAATTTTTTGAGAAGAAATAAAAAATATATTTAATCTTATTATTTGTTATCTTGTATAAAAGAAAAAACTCACGTATATAAGAAGACTTTGACCATGATCTGCAAGATAGAATCCACTGTTTCTTTTTCCACAAACTATTTCCAATAAAAGAACTCCAAAGCTAAAAACATCAGATTTCACTGAATATAATCCTTCCATAGCATATTCTGGAGACATGTATCCACTGGAAAAAAAACAAAAATCAACAAAATTATTTTTGCAATTAATTACATCTTGTGTAAAAAGAAATACTAGAAACAATAACACATACTAGGTACCCATAACTCTTCTTGTATTTTCTTGACTTTGGTCTTTTTCAAATGACCTTGCTAATCCAAAATCAGATATTTTTGGATTCATCTCTTGATCTAGAAGAACATTACTAGCTTTTAAGTCTCTATGGATTACTCTAAGTCTAGAGTCTTCATGAAGGTACAAGAGCCCTTTTGCAATTCCATTAATAATGTTCATTCTTAACTTCCAATCTAGAACTTTTCTTTTCTCCTCATCTAACATTCAAGTGACAAGGAAAAAGTCATTTCACACAAAAATATATGTATTATAGAGCAAGTACCAAACTTACCAAATAGATGAAGGTCAAGGCTTGAATTTGACATGTATTCATATACAAGCAACTTCTCATTATCTTCAATGCAACAACCCAAAAGTCTCACAAGGTTTCTATGTTGCAATTTAGCTATAAAGATTACTTCATTCTTAAACTCTTGTGAACCTTGACTAGATGTTATAGAAAGCCTTTTGATTGCAATTTCTGTTCCATCTACTAAATTTCCCTAAAATAAATATTGAAAAGAAAATATTAACATAAAAAAAAAATATATTAACATTTTCATAATCAAAGTAAAAAAAAAAAAAAACTATACCTTATAAACGGGCCAAATCCACCTTCTCCTAATTTACATAACTCTGAAAAGTTATTAGTACTTTGTCGAATCCAAATTAAAGGGAATATTGGGAGGTCACCATGTAAAGAATCTTCTTTTTGAATATCACCGAGATGCGATATAGTAATTGGTTTCGACATCATTCTACCTATAATAAGAAAAGTATTATTCGTTTCAATTTTAACTGTTATATGTTACATTTTTTTATTGGTAGATAAAATGATAGTAACTATTAAAAATTCACACACATTTATAGTTCGAACTCAATGTATCGTTAACTGTTACGTGAATAAATGAGGTCAGAGAATTTTCTATAAATTATGTTGCTCACCTTTGTCTTTACTTGAATGATATTTCCTCCATATGAAGTAGATACATAGACTCATGAGAGCAAGTGCAACCACCAACACAATGACAATGGTGATGATCAAAGTATTTGATTTACTTGATGAACCTCCTTGCCCAGCTTCAAGTGCAACATTGGTTTTAAAATTAGAAAAATAAATCAAGGCCTTACAGTTTGGGCCGGCCCAATGTAGAGCGAGAAGTCCATTTTGCTAAATTATACTTCATACCCCACCAATTGTATTTCTACCCCACATTTTTTTTATCTAAAATTATGTGAGAATATTCTATATTTAGGGCTTAATAAGAATTAAAAACTTCTATTTTAAAAAGTCAAGTGCCTTGAAAAAAAAAAGTCAAGTGACATAGGTTTCACGGCAAATAATCTCACCAAAATTTTGACACCATAATAATAAAAATTTTATGTTGACAAAAATTAATAAGAACAAAGGTTTAGAAAATGATAGGTTTGTCTCATTCAAGCCTATAATTTTACTTTGAATATAATAATTTTCATTAAGAAAAAAAATAAACATTTTTATTTTTTTATATTTTATATTTATTAAATAGTTAATATATTTGAACTCTATCCTGAATCAGATATATTAATTATTCAATAAATTTAAAAAAATTTTTTTTTTTTATAAATAAGATCGGACGGAATACTAAAAAATTACCTGAAGGTGAAGAAGTTTGTGAAATAAGTTGATAGAACATAAAATCATCATACTTTATCAAACAACTTGGAGCAAGAACTTGCCAACCAATCTTTGTCCCACAGCATTTAGGAACTTTCTCTAACATACCCTCCAAACATTGATTACATTGATTCTCACTAAGGTCCCTACTACATTGCACCAATCCATACCTTTTCTCATTACTCAAATTGAACTCTCTCATTGCATACAATTTACCATTCTCCATAGTAGCTTCTTTTATTAAACTTTGCATATTATCTTCACCTTTCTCAACTTCTTTTGGATTAATCATGTTTTTTGACCCCAAAATATGCCATGATGGTGTTGTTGTTAGTTTTCCAAAGAAATTATGGTTTGAATACCTAAACAAGACGGACAAATCCATAAATTTTAACTAAAAATAACAGTTCAGTTATTCCTTAAATAATATTATAATATGTTTCACATTGAATAGTTAACATTATATAGATAATGAAAACTAAACTTTAGTTCACTAAATGTCATGTCAGCTCTACTATAATACAAATTCTTTATTACTAACGTAAGCTATACAAAATTTTGGTTTAACAACCCTGCGCTAAATTTAACAGAGTTTTCATACCTGAGAATGCAAAAGTTGTACCATATAACAGCTGAGGGTCTATTAGGGCAGTGTTGAAGAATATCAGAAGCAGCAGTAGAGACACAAAATTGACAAAAAGAACCTGTGACATCCCCCCTACAATCATAGAGACCATAGACACCATCAAGTGTGTTACCTCCTATGCTTGTATGGTTATATCCTTTGCTTACAATAGCATCTGAGGATAGCAATGATAGCACTTTTCTAAGGTTTGATTTGTATGTAGATGTAAGAAACTGTTGTGTTGAATTTTGACAATCATCACCTACATAGTTTGGAGATTGTGCTATTGGTTTTGTGAAAAGGGTCATGAAGATGAAAATTTTTATGAGTTTTGTTGTTGTTGTTGCTGCCATTTTTTGTGTGATGAAATTATTGGCATAGTAATGTGTTAGTTATAGGTAGGTAGTTGAAGTTTACACCAAGAAAGAATTGAGGTTATTTATTGATACATTTGTACTAAGAAGGTCCAAATTCATTGGCTATTATTGATTATGATAATTGAAGAAAGCAACATTTTGATCTAAAAATTAAAAATTTTCAGATGTAGGCCATAAGATATGTGTGAACTGTTGAATTAATTTATTAAATATAATTTATGTAAATAAAAAATTTATTTTAAATAAAAGATATTTTTATGTAATGATTGTTTGAGTTTGATGAACAATTAAGCTAATAAAATAATTATTTAAAAAGTTAAAATAAATTTTAAATCTTTCTTCTCTCTTTTCGCGATTACTGGGACATGAGAATAAGAATGTGACTGTTAGAATAAAATGTTTATAAAACAGACACTCATTCTTTCTATTTTTTCAAAAATAAATAAAATATTATCTTCATCATTAAATATACACATAAAAGATGAAGAAAGAAACGATAAAAGATTTCAAATTATAAAAACGACAAGTTAAATAAGAATCGTCATAATAAATATAAATATATTTTTATTATTTTTTATAAAAATTAAAATAGTATAAAAATTATAATATCAATAATATAAAATTAAAATATAAAATTTTTGTGACACAAACATAAAATTACTCTAAATGGTTAGAATTTCACTCGTAATTATAAAGGTATGTGATGTGAATTATGTTGCCAATATAAAAGTAATAATAAGTTATTTTAATATATATATATATATATATATATATATATATATATATATATATATATATATATATATATATATATATATATATATATATATATATATATATATATATATATATATATATATATATATATATATATATATATTGAAATTTGTGTAATAATTCAAGTGCTATAATTGATTATCATCGAATTGGTAATCAATTACAACAAGTTCTAATATTCATTTTAGAAAGCAAGAGGCTTTGTTTCTCATTGACGTAACCGGTTACATGATTTGGTGTAACCAGTTACCACTAGATTTGATTTAATTTGGAATTAATTCAGTCATAAGTATAACCATTATCCAGTCTGGTGTAACCGATTACGAGTTCAAGTTTTTGTTTTTTCTGCTATTTTACTTGGTCAAAATGTATTTCAATCACTGTGTAATCTCTATGTAAGTGTGTAGGGTGCACTCTCACCCTAGAAAATGAAAAATTGTATTATCACCCTAGAAAATGACAAATTGCATTCTCACCCTTAATTCTCTCTCTCTCTCTCTCTCTCTCTCTCTCTCTCTCAATTTTTCTCAACTTAGTTTCATTAATCTTATAGTTGCTTGTTCTAACACCTTGTATGCAACATGAATTTTGTCTCCAATGAAAAAATCCCTGCAAATTTATCCATCCTTTATGCGAAGAGGCGCAACAAGCATCGCATAAGGAAGAAAAGAAGAATGGTTTCAAAGCGTTGTTCGTGATTCATCAATGTGTTTATGGCAACAATTCCGAGAAAGTTGGTGATTACAATTTGTCGAAGCAAGTATGAGAGATCTTAGAGAAAGCTTATGCAGGGGATGACAAGGCAAATGTGATGATGTTATAAACTCACAAACGGCAATTTGAATTGATTCAAATGGAAAAGAAGGAGACAATCAACGACTTCACAATGAGAATCACTCGGTTGGCGAACCAAGTGAAGGAATGCATAGAAACCATTACAGAGCACTATGTTGTCGCTAAAATCTTGTTTTCTTAAACACTAAGATTCAACAATATAGTTGTGGTGATTGAGGAGTCGAAGGATTTTGTGATGATGAACAAAGAGGAGCTGCAAAGTTCTCTTAAGGCTCATGAGTAAAGGATGGAGGATAGGAACAACGACAAGGAAATGGCGGAGACCGCTTTGCAAGCTCGGTTCAATGAGAAGGACAAGAGATCGAAAGGAAATGGCCCTAAAAAACAAAGGGAATGTTCAGAATTTTAATGGAAAAGAGTTCCCGAATTCAAAGAATTCGACTTGTCAAAAGGGTGAGAGCAGCTACAACAAACACGATGGTCAAGGAAACTATATAGGTGAAAGAAAGAGATTTGACAAGAGCAAGGAGCAATGCTACAAGTGTCAATGGTTTGGTCATTTTGCAAAAGAATGCAATGCAAACAAGAAGGAATCTTAAGGGGATGAAGCCGAGGTTACAAGAAAAGATTTTGATGAAGAGAATACACTTTTGGTTATGATTACAAAAGCAAATTGTATCAATAAACAATTGTGGGACAACAGCTGCAACAACTTAAAGAATGCAGAAAAATTGGATTGTGACCACTTGAATGACACGATTGACCGGTTGCGTGAAGAGGAAGACGCCATGATGAGTGTGAAAGGAGTTCAATGCAGTAAGGAGTGGTATTTGGATTTGGATTGTTCAAATCATATGATAGGAAGAAATGATTGGTTTGTATAAATTAATCATGCCATGAAGAACAAAGTAAAGTTCACAGATGACACCACTCTAATGGCCGACATGATCAATGATGTTTTGATCACGAGGAGTGATGATGGACATTTCTTGATCAAAGATGTTTGGTATATTGCGGAAATCACATATAATCTTCTAAGTATTGACCAATTACTTGAGAAGGATTACACGATTCATATGGAAAACAAGGGGTTGGGCGTTATGGATGTAAAGGGAGCTTTGGTCCTTAAAGCGCCTATGGATGCCAATAGAACCTTTAAGGTTAAGTTGAAGGTTATGAAGCATAAATGTCTTGCTACTTCAATAAGTCGTGAAGAATGGGTGTGGCACTATCGTCTTGGGCATCTTAATTTTAGAGATCTCAAGGACTTGTAAAAGAACAGGACGGTAACGAGGCTGTCAACGATCAATATTCCAGTTGAAACTTGTGAAGAATGTGTGTAAGCAAAGCAACATAGAGGAAATTTCATCAATAATGCATACCGGAGAACCAAGAATCACCTTGAGGTGGTGTATTAAAATGTGTGCGGGCCTATGCAAGTAGATTCCATTGGTGGCAATAAGTACTTTGCCACTTTTATTGATGATCATAGTAGAAATATATGGACATATCTTATTAAGAGAAAGGATGAGGTATTTGATGTGTTCAAGAAGTTCAAGTCCATGGTGGAGAGGCAAAGTGGTCACAAGCTTAAAGTGCTCAAAACAGATGGTGGAGGCGAATATGTCTCAAATGACTTTAAGAGGTTTTATGATCAAGAAGGGATTGTACATGAGGTAGTACCATGCCATACACCACAATATAATGGTGTAGTCGAAAGAAAGAATTGATTGACCGTGAACATGGTGAGAAACAGGTTGAAATGGAAGAACTTGTCGAAAGAGCTATGGGTAGAAGCGGTATCTACAGTTACCTATTTGTTGAATATGTGTCTTACAAAAAAGATGGAAAATGTAACACTGAAGGATGCATGGTCGTGGTTCATACCAAATCTGAACCATTTGAGAGTCTTTGGTTCCATTGTATACCTATATGTTTTGGGTCAACTTAGAAAGAAGTTGGATGACAAGGGTGAGGTGATGATTCTGGTTGGATATCACTCTACCAGAGGTTGATGATGTAAGTAGGAGGATCGTAATCAGTCAGGATATTATAATCAATGAAATGAAGCAGCTGCAGCAGAGCGTAACCAGTTACCAGAATCCTATAATCGGTTACATGCAGGCGGTAACCGGTTACCAGAATCCTGTAACTAGTTACAAGTACGAAATTTCAGATTCTAAGGTAGCAGGAAGTACATAACAACAAGTCATCGAAGTTCGGAATGAAGGAAATGTCAGGAGATCAACAAAGCAAAAGTGTTTTGCCTTATAGACTCTAAGATTGTGAGTTGTTTCATGACAATGAGGTTAATGATGATGGTGATTTTGTCCATTTTGCACTTATGGACGAATCAGAACTTGTCAATACAGATGAGACTTTAAGCGACCCAAAGTGGATTTGTGCTATGAAAGAAGAGCTTAAATTCATTGAGAAAAACAATACTTGAGAGCTAGTTGATCTACCAAAAGGGAAGAAGGAAATTGGTTTGAAATGGGTGTTCAAAGTGAAGGAAAATCCCAAGAGTGGGATAATTAAGCATAAGGATCAATTGGTGGCTAAGGGATTTTCGCAAAGAGAAGGCATAAACTTTGAACATGTTTCCGCACTAGTTACTAGGATCGAAGCCATTAGGCTTATTGTTGGTATTGCAAATAACCACAATTGGCCTATCTACCAAATGGATGTCAAATCCGTGTTTTTGAATGGGCCACTTGAAGAGGATATGTATGTAGGACAACCCCCTGGTTTTGTTGTAAAAGATCAAGAGCCAAAGTTCTACAAGTTGAAGAAAGATCTATATGGTTTGAAGCAAGCTCCAAGAGCTTGAAATAAAATGATTGATGGTTTTCTAAAAGACATTGGCTTTAAGAAATGTGTATCGGAGCATGAAGTCTATGTAAAGACGGACGCGAGTGAGAGAATAATCATTCTTTATCTATATATGGATGGTTTATTGATTAAAGGTGTAACACTCCCGACTACTTTCACAATACGCGATCAGACTTGGCATTTATTTTCGGTATTATGAGTAAATTCATGGCGAGACTGAAGGTGTCTCATTTGGCACCGTTAAAGAGGATCTTAAGCTATGTCAAAGGTTCTGTTGGCTACAAAATTCTCTTTCCCACAACGGATACAAGCAAAAAATGCAATTTGCTCGGTTTCACTGATTCCAATTAGCGTGGAGATAAGGATTATCAAAAGTCTACAGCTGGATACATATTTATGTTCGGTGTGACACTAATCTCATGGTGTTCGAAGAAGGAACCAGTGGTTGCACTCTCGTCTTTGAGGTCGAGTACATTGCTGCTTCGTTGTGTGCGTGTCAAGCCGCATGGCTTATGAATCTATTGGAGGAGCTGGATAACAGTGATGGTGAGGCTGTCACACTTTTAGTTGAC